CACCCCAGGAGCTCCGTCCAAACACGAGGGACGATCTGAGGGCCGAGGGCCTCCATCCACATCCACCACTCCACCGAGACACGCCACTACAACAGCAAGCAGGAGAAACCAGTCCAACCAGTAAGGTAGATGATATTTACCAAAGTTAGGATAACTTATGGTCCATGCTTGTATACACGCCATAGGACGCTTGTGTGTTGTTGTTTTTCCAAAATGATGTCCGTCATTTGTGTCTTTGATCTTCAGTTTATGTAGCATAAAGAGTAACAGCAACACTAAAGCTGAGGTACATTTGGTCAAAAACAGACCTGCAGATGCTTTTAAAGACAAATGGGATGTATTTTCCTGCAGCGATACTGCACAGCTACATACATCTGCCACCACCGCCATCGTCCAGGATCCAGGATTTAATAAATGACTGTAAACACAGAGGAACTGATGACTTTTGTAGAACCTAGAAAAATATTTATTAAGTTGATGTGAAGAAACGCGCATTTCCACAACGCGCCCGTCCTCCTCCGCCTCATCTCGTAAAAAAACTGACGCACGGGGGGTACCTGGTGCGTCAAAACTGGACGCAAAAGACTACCTGACCAAGTGTCAATGTGACGCGGGGGGAGTGAGAATGCATTGGACTCGCAGCACTGCGAGTTTCTGCCGCGGTGTGGGACTGGGAACAGCCGATTGATCCATACTTTACACAGCAACAAATCTATTGTGGAGCTGAGGAATCATCACAGCTGAATGTTCTGAGTTGATAATGTTTTTTTCTCAGAATTAAAAATGTTTCTTAGACAATTCACACATTTTATCCTCCTCAGCTGTGTGTGCGCTCTGCATGTGTTTCCAACTATGTGACAACAATATAAAAAGTTAACAGTTTACAGACTGGACTGAGGTTCTTTGATCATTTTTAGGCTGATCTATTTTCTTGTCTGAGGTAAAATGATTTTCAGTTTCATCATCATTCAGTTTAAACAATAAAAACTCAAACTAAAATAAAAATCTAACAGCGTGTTCAGACACTCCTTACATCCAGAAAACACAACAGAGTCATATTTCTGTGGATTCAGGTCAGATTTATGACTTTGTGAGTTAAAACTGTCGACTGAAAAACTTTGTGTGTCTGCTGCACATCCTCACAGCAGGTGAAAAGTGTGTGTAAATATACGCACACTTTCACTCAACGTTGGTTTTTATACATCACAACGTGGGCGTAGAACCTGGCGCACGCAACTTTATGCGTACGCAGCGTTTATACATGAGGGCCCAGGTTATTCCATCAATTATTGTTTCTTCCCTGAGGGCACGGCCATATTCCAAGATGACAGTACCAGGATTCATGGGGCTTTTATTGTGAAAGAGTGGTTCAGGGAGCATGAGACATCATTTTCACACATGGATCGGCTCCACAGAGTTCACTGAGAATCTCTGGGATGTTCTGGAGAAGGTCAGACTCTACCATCATCAATGAAAGATACTGATGAAACATTAATGCAGCACTGGATGGAAATAAATGTTGTGACATTGTAGAAGTTTATCAAACAATGCCACAGTGAATGTGTGCCACAATGAAAGCTAAAGGCGGTCCTATTAAATATTGGAGTGTGTGACCTTGTTTATTGGTGGCATTTTTTTAGCCAGGCAGTGTATTATTGCACATCATAATTTATTTATTCATCTATTTGCAGATGATCTGCAAATCTATCTGCCGGTCACTCTAGCAGTAATCTAGCAGTAATCTAGCAGTAATCTAGCAATCAAGCAGTAAAGTCTGACTGCAACTTAAAGCTCGATAGATTGATTCTGTTGTGAAACAAGTATCTTTCAGCTCCATCTGCATTCCAAAGTAACGGCACTCCTTAGCCACAGTGATCTGGAGAAGGCCATCCATGCCTTTGGGACCTCTAGGTTTGATTGCTTTCTATGTCAGTATTAATTAGACTTCTATTTCTTGTTTACAGCTCATATAAAACTCTGGACAGAAATCATCTGTTTAGAGAGTTTCAGTCATAGTTTACCCCTAATTTACACTTGATGTGGTTCCGCTCACCTCCACTGTGCTATGCAGTTCCCAGCCCTTCGTTTGCACTGGCCCATGTCTGTGAAGCAAATTTATCCTGTTTATCACTGATTTTTAATGCATCACCCATTCAGTTTTATTTTTTAGGTCTGTATTTTAATTACTTATAATGCATAATTATCGGTTGTTATGATTAAACTGTGATTTACTGAATGGGCAATCTACTTTAAGTGTCTTGTATCATCTCAAGCAGAATGTGCTGTCTCCAAAATAACTAATTAATACACGCCTTGACACACATAAATATTTTATCATCAGTTTGTAGAATGCTAGTATTTGTTGTGGTGGTCGTACCACAGAGCCGAACTGCATCTAGTGTAAATTAGGGGTTACAACTCATCATAGCACTGAAACAGCACTGATGAAAGTTACTGATAATATTCTCTTGGACACAGTGGATTTGTGTCCATTCTTGTCCTGTTAGATCTCAGTGCTGCATTTGATACATCTGATCACAATATTCTGTTACAGAGGCTTAAACATGATAGTGAGATTACAGAAACAGCTCTAACACAGTTTAAGTCATATTTAATTGACAGATTCCAGTTTTTTAATGTTCATAATAAATCTTCTTACACCAGCATCATTCATGGAGTTCCTCAGGGTTCAATGCTTGGACCAATCCTCTTTATATACAGTATATGAATTTGTCGACAACATTTGTTTGATTGGATTCGCTACCTTTGAAATGTAGCAGACATTAAAGCAGATGGAAAATTGTAATCGTCTGCCTGACTCTTCTGTTCTCAAAACAACTGATTACAGAATCTGGATCTCCCCGACAATGGCCTTGATCTGTTTACTAAATTCTTCCTGGCTTCCTGGATTTGGGGACTGGATTCTTCTGGCCCCCTAAACTCACTTACTCCTCTGGCTAATAAATCTACCCTATGCAGAGTTTTTTTTTCCATAGAAACCATTGTGTGTCACAGTGTTGATATAATATGATGTTTTTGTTTTTGTTTTCCTCATCTTCCCTTCCCTTGTGTGGTTTTCTGTTTCCAAGATGGTGCCACAGCAGGCAGCCTGTTACTGCAGCTCCACTGTTTTGAGCTGCTGTAATGTTCAAATTTCCCCACTGTGGGATCAATAATGTTCTATCTTATCTAATCTAATCTTATCTTATCTTATCTTATCTTATCTTATCTTATCTTATCTTATCTTATCTTATCTTATCTTATCTTATCTTATCTTATCTTATCTT